TGTTTTTTTAATGACCTTTTCTATTTCTTTGTGTATGTCACTCCACATGCATGTCATGCCACATGCTGTCCTCCCACTTGCATGTCACCGTGAGAGGTGCCACCCTGGGAGAGCAGTGTGTCTGCCAACAGCTGTAAGGTGGATCCTGGGTTGGAGCATCTCACCAGAGGGGGAGTGGCACAGGTGGCTCACAGAGCAGGGGCATGCTGTTAGTGGACAGTGCGGGCAAAGCTAGGATCGGTCCCCTAGACCCCGCCAGACAAGAAAGGCTCCAGGACGCCACTGAGAAAGAGTGCCAGGTGCTGAGGGGGGTGGGTGGGAGGGGCCTGGTGACAAGTAAGGGGCTTTTTTGGGAATTAAGGGGTGAGGAAAATGGCACCCACTGTGTGATGTCACCTGCCTGCACTTGGAATGGGTCAGGTGTGCACGCTGTGAATAACATCACGACAGACTGGGCAACAAAAATGGCTGAAACGGACGCGGGCGTTATTGAGAGGGAGCGAGGGAGTCAGGTGGGATGGGGGCGGGGGCTTGGCGCTCAGTTAAACATGACCCCTCCCCTTCAGGGACCCCTCTCAGGAGGGGAGGAGAACCTGCAGGCCCAACTCCTGGAAACGTAAGCTCTCCTTGTATCATAAGCACCAGCTCTGGTCATTCGTGTGTGAGGCCGCGGTTCGATTCCTGGCTGGTGCTCCCGGGCGCAGCCACCACCTGCCCGTCTGCGGTGCTGCTGAGCAGGTGACAGCAGAGCTTACAGACCAAGGGAGGCCAGGAAGAAAGGCCTGGTGATCTGTTTCTGTGGCCCCAGGACAGCGCCGCGTGCTGCTCCCCTGTCCTGGTCCTGCGTGCGTGGCGTCCCCGAGAGTCAGCAGCAGCCATGAGAATAACCACAGCGGTGCCTCCGGCATTGTCCTTGATTCCTGCACGGGGCGAGGCCGGCACCTCGGCTGAGCCCGGGCCCGTGTCATTCGCTCAACCTGGCTGTCTTTCAGGTGGCCTTGTACTCGCTGCTTCCCGACTTCTGCCATAAGTTCCTGCCGGGCTACCTTGGTGGAGTTCAGGAGGGCGCAGTGACCCCTGCAGGTACTCGCTGCCTGGACACTATGTCCCTTCATCTGTGTGCCTGGTCCTGGCGTCTCCCCAAGCCCTGTTCATCCCAAAGACGCTCATGGCATGGCAGGAGTGGGGCCGTCCCAGGAACCAGGCCGAAGATGGCTTGTCCCTTAGAGAAGGAAGGGGCATCCCACGCAGCCCCGCGGTGGGGTGCTGTTCTGGGGACAGTGGGGCAACGCTATGTCCTTTCCACCCCTCAGGCTCTCACTTTATCTCCACTAGGGGGACCTACAGGGACCCTGGCCTCATGCAGGGCACTGAGGGACTGGCTGGAATTCCTCCCCCTTCTGTCTCTAGGGGCTCCTGTCCAGGGTCAGGCTGGGTCCCCCTGGAGTTACAGGTAGCCCAGGAGCTCAGAGCGGAGCACTTGCCCTATGTCTGCCCACCTCAGCCTCGACAGCTCTAAGCAGTTGCAACTGATTTCCTGGCCCATCAGCCTGCCCCCAGGACCCTCCTCCCTACAAAACCAAGCCCACTGCCATGGAGTGTACCCTACTCACGCCCTTCCCCCAACCCCGGCATGTCTCCTTGGCTGGGGCTGATTACCAGGCCTTCTCAGCGCCACCAGGCGGGTCTGAACCACCAGCCCCTGGTTGGCAGACAAGTACTGACTGTCAGCACCACCTAGCTCGTACTGGTCTGCCTGGCCCGAGCGAGGGCAGCCATTGGACCATGAGCTCAGACAGAGGGACGACCTAGATGGCGCTGGCACCCTCTCTTCACAGGGGTTGTCAACAAGTACCAGATCAACGGCCTGCAGGCCTGGCTGGTCACCCACCTCCTCTGGGCCACCAATGCCTACCTGCTGTCCTGGTTCTCGCCCACCATCATCTTTGACCACTGGATCCCGCTGCTGTGGTGCGCCAACATCCTGGGCTATGCCGTGTCCACCTTCGTCATGATCAAGGCCTACCTGTTCCCCACCAGCGCCAAGGACTGGTATGTGGCCCTGGGACTCTGCCAGCTGACGCTGTCATCGCAGACTCTGCCTTTCCGGGAGCCTGAGGCTGGAGCCCCCTTCCAGACAGACCTCCAGCTGCGGGGTGACGATCGAGAGTCCATCAGCAGGTTCCGGGGCGTACCGTTAGCACCGGCCCTGCACTGTCCACCCCATTGTTCTTATGTTTGAGCCCAGGGTTGCTGCCACTGTGTCCGTCCATCTTGTCCAGGACCTTCCTGTTTTTGCTGCTCCTCTACTTTACCAAGCATGATGTTATTCTCCAGGGACTGGTCTCTCTGACCCCTCAAATCAGGTTTCCAGGGTAGTGAGTCTTTATGGGAGCCAACAGCCTCCTCTTTCTCCCGAGGAGCGGCTGGTGAGTGTGAACCAGCGACTTTGTGGTCAGCAGTCCCAGTGCTTACCTGGCCGTGGGTCCCCTGTAGTTAGCATTCTAAGGAATGCAGCACCCATGCAAGACCGGAGTGACTGTGTGGTGCGAATGGAGGTTGCTGGGTCATGGTGGTTTCCGGTTAGGGCTTCTTCTCGGGGCAGTAGTCCAAGCAGCGGGGCCCAGGTCACCCAGCCTCCGTGGCTCCAGAGAACGGATCCTAGAGAATTCACACGTCTGCTCCACAGCCCCTTCCCCTTGGTGAGGCTTCTTGGGGAGAATCTTTGACCCAACGGTGAACACCCCATCTAAGAGCAAGTGGACATGGGGATGAAGGCAGCTGAGGCCGGTCACACAGCAAGGCACCTGGACAGACGGATGTTGGCAGCCACAGTCACCGCTGCCCTTCTGCAGCCAGGCCTTTGCTCCCATGGCCTTCCCAGTCGCCCCTCCCCTGGCTGCCCTGAGCCCTTGCCGCAGACACAGCTGTGGGGCACCCTTATGGCCATTGTTTGCTGTCACAGCTGTTCAGGCTGACAGTGGCCCCCACACACCACGGAGATCAACATTGCCCGAGACTGCCCCCTTGTCTCGTCCCCATCCCGGCCAGGCCCTTGTTGGTGGTTGTGCTGGTCCTTCTTGTTGTTGGTGTGGTTGTGCTGGTCCCTCTTGGTGTGGTTGACGGTCCCTCTTGTTGTTGGTGTGGTTGTGCTGGTCCCTCTTGGTGTGGTTGTTGGTCCCTCTTGTTGTTGGTGTGGTTGGGTTGGTGCATCTTGTTGAGGGTTTCCTTCATTTTCACTGACCCTCGGCTCTACCCCACTGTGTGTTCTTTCTCGGATTATCTTTGCCTTCACCAGACCCACCTTCCGTCTGCCATCTGGGCCGCCAGCTTGGCCGGGAGGTGAGCCTTCTAGTTAGCAGGTTCCGGTAGAGCCAGGAAAGCCGGCCGGCTGGTGGCTGCGATCCTGGCTTGGGCATTGGAGCGATCCGTGGCTGGCGCGGGACGGGGCAGTCTTTCCTTCTGCCCACAGGTCTTTGGAGGCAACGCCATGGCACCCGTTCACTCGTGGCTTTAGCTGGCAGGCACCCGAGGCCAATGCACTCAATGTGTCCTCTGTGTTTTTCTGTGTGTTTGAAGCAAATTCTCAGGCAATTTCTTTTACAACTACATGATGGGTATCGAGTTCAATCCCCGCATCGGCAAATGGTTTGACTTCAAGCTGTTCTTCAACGGACGGCCGGGGATCGTGGCCTGGACCCTCATCAATCTGTCCTTTGCCGCTAAGCAGCAGGAACTGTATGGCCGAGTAACCAACTCTATGGTCCTGGTGAACGTCCTGCAGGTACTGGGCCATCCTGACAGGGGCTAGCCAGGCCCAGAGGCTGGAGGTTCGCCAATGACCTGCCTCTTACCATGGGGTCAATAGTGACTTGGTGGCGCCATGCCCACCAGAGAACTGCTGCCCGGGCATGGGGATTCCAGTGGTTAGCCTGGCCCCTGAGCACTCTGCTAGGCTTGTACTTCCCGTTTTTCTAGAGAGTTCCCCGCCCTCCACAGCCAGGTACATGCATGTCTGGGGAGATGCTTACGAGAACAGATACTGTGCCCAGGAAGGCGTCCCTTGGAGCTTATACCTGCAGGTTATGGGTGAGGCAGGTGGTTCCAGGTGGAGACATAGTGGGTGACAATCCTGGTGGCAGGAAGGTTGGCAACTCTGAGGAGCAGGAATGCCCTGGCTTTGGAGCAGAGAAAGTTCCAGAACCTGGGCCAGGTGGGGTGAGAACTCGATGCCAGGGCCATCCAAGTCTCTCTTTCTGCACGGGAGACCCAGGATCGAGTCCCGGCTGGGGGACCTTATGTGCAGCCAAGCCCCATCTGTCCATGGAGGGTTGTGTGTGGCTGGACAGGTACCAGGGGAACATCTAGGCTGAGACTAGGAAGAAAGGCCTGGTGAGCTACCTTCCCAACCAGCCGTTGGGAACCCCCACTCTGATCTGACATGCATGTCAGCCCCTTCTGTAGTCACTGTGGGGACCCTGCTTGCTATCACCAGTTGTGGGCCCCTCCTGGCCCTTTGGGGTTGAAGCCCCATCCCCTGAGAGGAGGCGGTGGCCGATAGTTGCCCTGTCTTGCAGGCCATCTATGTGCTGGACTTCTTCTGGAACGAAACTTGGTACCTGAAGACTATGGACATCTGTCACGATCACTTTGGGTGGTACCTGGGCTGGGGGGACTGCGTCTGGCTGCCGTACCTGTACACACTGCAGGTGAGGCGCGCGGGCTGGCCCGAGTGTGTGTGCACACACTTGTGTGCCCATTTGGTGGAGTCCCCGTGAGTCATTCTTGTTGAGCACAGACACAGAACCCACAGCAGCTTCGGCTCATAAGCAGTTCAGTGACCAAACTTGATTCCATGCCATCGGGTCAGTTGACCTGGGCACTGCCCTCGCCCTCCTGCTGGGAGGTGCTGGCACCTGCCGCTGTCCCTCAGGTGTCCTGGCTTTATTGCATGCCTCGGTGGATACGCCTTTCTCAGCTGGAAGTTCAGATCACATGTATCCTGCACATGCCCCACGGGCTGCCCCCTCTCCCCCCACCCACCTTCTGTGTCCTGGTTTGGCTCTGCTCTCCAGGTTTCCCACCTTCCCCGGGCAGGAGGTTCCATGCTGACTCCAGAGCGCCAGGATGGCTTGGGCACCCAGAGACCGCCACCCTTGTTTTACCATGGCGACCTCCCCGAGGTCAGCCGCACGCACCTGTGTTCAAAGTGGCTCGGTGGCAGTCTTACCATTTCGGCTTCCCATAGACTTTGGGGGACCCCTTGGGTGTTTGAACGTGTCACCCCCTACCAGTGCCCTGGGGCAGGCTCCTTCATCCACAGGTGTGGCCTCCAGGGCAGGCCTTGAACCTGGGCCCACGGGCAGCATGTAACCCATTCCTTGTCGCCCGTAGGGCCTGTACCTGGTCTACCACCCGGTCGAGCTGGCCACGCCGCATGCTGTGGCCATCTTGTTCCTGGGCCTGCTGGGGTACTACGTCTTCAGGATGGCCAACCACCAGAAGGACCTGTTCCGCCGCACAGATGGCCGCTGCCTGATCTGGGGCCGGAAGCCGCGGGCCATTGAGTGCTCCTACATGTCGGCCGATGGGCACAGACACCACAGCAAGCTGCTCGTGTCGGGCTTCTGGGGCGTGGCCCGCCACTTCAACTACACGGGCGACCTGATGGGCAGCCTGGCCTACTGTCTGGCCTGCGGCGGCGGCCACTTGCTGCCCTACTTCTACATCATCTACATGGCCGTGCTGCTCGTCCACCGCTGCCTCCGTGACGAGCACCGCTGTGCGCACAAGTACGGCAGCGACTGGGACCGCTACACCGCCGCCGTGCCCTACCGCCTGCTGCCCGGCGTCTTCTAGGGGCCGCGAGGCTGCCGGGGACCTTTCTCTGCACTCTGAGACCGAGTCGCCATCAGCCTCCTCACCCGCAGGAAAGGGTCGTCCCTTGGTGACACCACTTGGTGACAGCATGCCCTCTCACGGCTGGAGACCCGGGAGCCACCCAGCCCAGACAAACTCTGACACATGACGGGGAGCCCTCTGTTCCTGGGTGTCAGGACTGTATCCCTCCTGCTGGGTAAAGCAGGAGTGTCAGAGAAGGTGGGCGCCCCCCAAGGGGGGTCCCCAAACCTGCTGTTAGCACCTAAGAGCTGGGCCCTGGAGCCCTGGCCTTCTCAGCGAGCGTTGGCTTAGACCACCAGCAGGGGATTCCAAGGGACGGGCCAGCCTGATTACCGGCGGCTGTTTTGCTTCCCCTTGAGCACCTTTCGGGGGCGGGGGTGGTGGTGCGGGATCCCTGGTGGTCCCCTGTCCTGGAGAGCCCTAGCTGTGGCCTCCAACTCCGACTGCACATCCAGCCTCACTGGGTGCCCGTGGGCCAGTGGGCACCTTCACTTGGAAGGGGTGACGCCTGCCAGCCCCCTGCCCTGGGCCCCCACCATGCCGTTTCCCGCACCCCTGGGCCAAGCTTCCCTCTCAAGGTGCTATCCCTCAGACGAGGGCCTTCTGTCAAGGGACGGTCCTATGGCTAGTAGGCACTCTTTACATTACATTTTCTCTTTGAAGTGACCGTGTGGCTTTGTCTCTGGAATGGGCCGGCCCCAGGGAGAGACGGGGCAGGGCGACCAGTCTCAGGCACACCAGAGAGGAGCCCTGGGGCTCAATGGGTTATGGGTTGTGCTGCTAACTTCAAGGTCAGCAAGCCCTCCAACTGCTCTGTAGGATGCAGACGAGCCTCTCTGCTCCCTTAAAGGTTGACAGTCTTGGAAATACACCAGGGCGGTTCTAGTCTGTCCTGTAGGGTGGCTGTGGCCGCCGTGGACTCGATGGCCATGAGAGAGGTGCAGGAGAGCTGAGTGTCCAGCCCCGCAGCACCTGCGTAGTCACCGGCACACTCGGGTCCACCTCACAGGGGTCTCCCTCACCTGCACGTGTGACTAGCTCTTCCCAAGTGTCCAGAGTGAGTCAGACAGTGTTCTGCTGTGAACCACAGGGTGCTGACTGCCCTATTTTCAGCAGGAGGTCACCAGGCCTTTCTTCCTCGTCTCTTTCGGTGTGGAAGCACCACTGACATCTGCCCACCAGGAGTGAGTGACCCCGCTGGAGTTTGAGATCGTGACACCCAGTGTGGCATATGCGCCAGTCCTGGCTGAGCTGTGCCAGAGCCTATGTTGCCGGGCTCATCTGGCATGGGCAAAGGCAGTGTACCTATGCCAAGGTAGAGCCTCGGAGCTAAGAGGGGGCGCCCCCACCTAGGCCAGCCTTAGAGCTCACTGCCCCATAGGGAGGGACCCCAGACACCTGTATGGTCACAAGCCACCCAAGTGGCTATAATGTAGTGGGCTGGGGACCCGTGTGGGCAGTACCAGGCACACCGGACCCTTCCTGTCCTTCACAGACTTGGGCACATTGGATTTAGTCTGTGCTTGACCTGAGCTCACCCATGTACCGAGGAAGAAAGGCCTGCTCATCTACTTCCATAAAGATCACAGCCCAGCACTCCCCTGGACAGTTCTGCTCGCTGACACACGGGGCGCCCTGGCTAGAACTGACGGTGCCAACAGGCTAGATGCCAGGGTGGTCGAGGACCTTGGGTGCAGAGCTCTCCTGCCCCTGAATTCTGGCTCAATTGTCCAGCGCCTGGGTGGCCTTGGGCAGGTGCCTTGCCTTCTTGGTGGCTTGGCTTCCCGGTCACGGGCATGGTTTCTGTGGCTTGGCTGAGACAGGCTGGCCAGGCAGACTGGGGTTCCAGTCAGCTAAAGTGGTTTCCCCAGCTTCTCAGCTGGGTGGCAGTAACATCTCATACATGGTGCCCATAAGCCCGCCTGGCCCCATCCCACCACCAGCAGGCATGCTTGCCCCTCTCCTGACCAGCACGGGTGAAGCCTGGCTCTGTTGCCCAGGCCAGGGCAGAGGGGCCTCTGGGAGCCCGCCTTCACATGCAAGATAGCACATGCCACCCTCCGCAGGCCGCTCAGCAAATGACAGCCCGGGATCCAGGGGCCGTAGACCACAGAGGTAAGGAGGGGGCACAATGGCTAAGGACCTGGACGGGGTGTTTTATTAAGACTGAGCAGTCCATCCCAACAGGGTCAAGGTGTGCCCAAGCCAGGGGACAGTCAGAGAGGCCACAGCTGTGTGACCTGCCCCTCCCTCCGCCACTCCCTGCCTCCCTGTTGGCTGGGGCCCAAGCAAGGTGCTTCTCGAGAACCAACGATGAATCCAGAGATGGGAAACGTGGGGAAGGAGGGTGTGGACACCATCGGCCCAGAAGCCCTCACTTGGACGCACTAGACGGTGACTTGCAGAACTGCTTTCTGCGCTCCCCTCCCTGCACCCACACCCTGCCCCATGAGGATGACAGTCCAGCCCACTGCCGCCCATGGAGGCTGCCACTCCCAGGAGGAACCAGCTGCCTTATCTGTCTCCTTAGAAGCAGCTGGTGGGTTCGAGCCAAGTGTAACTACTGAGCCACCATGAGTCCTGATACTGACAACACCCACCCCCCGCCCCATGATCTGACACCCAGCTACCCTCTGATGGGTTTCTGAGACCGCATCTTTGAGAGAGCAGACAGTCTCATCTCTCCCCGAGGGAGCAACCTGCGGGTTAGAACCACTAAACTCCAGGTTAGGGGTGCAGTGCTTGTTCCGCAGCACCACCAGGGCACCCAATAATGGTGATACCAAAAACCCACCGCCGCCAAATTGCCTCTGACTCATACCGACCCTACTCAGGGTTTCTGGGGCTGTGCATCTTTACGGGAGCAGACAGCCTCATCCTTTTCCCTTGGAGTGGTGGCTGGGTTTGAACCCTGTAGTTAGCTGCCGTTGGCAGCCTAGTGCTAAGCCACTGTGCCCCAGGGCTCCTTGTAGGGATAACAGTGAGGGGCCATTTGTAAGCACCGGTCCCATTGCTTTGCCGGCTGGCAGGCTGCAGGGCATGCCCGGGAGGGGAGGTGGCACAGCGGTTGTGTGGGAGACACCTGGCCAGCGCCCTGGAGAACCAGAGCAGGGGCATTCCTGCTCTGTCACGGGGCCACTGTGAGTCAGTGACTGGACGGGACACAGCCACCAGGCCGGTGAGTGGCTTGAGGCCACTGGCAAATGACCACATTTGATCCTTGGCTCAGGGGCCAGCGGTCCATCGGGTCTCACTGGAGGAAGTGCAGGGGTGGGCTGTCAGCTGTGGCCCACTGTGAGAGATAAGTCACCAGGCTGGCCCATCTTCAGAGTCAGCAAAGAGTCAAATAGTTACTAAGTAACCGGGCAGCAGCTGTGACAGCACTAGAGCCCAGGCACCTGGGTATGGGGTGTGGAAACCCAAGGAATTAAGAGCAAGGCGGGGTGGGGGGTGGGGGGGCGCAGCAGTATCTGCTGGGAGCAGGGGGAAGGGGGGAAACTCTTAGGCGACATTCAGGAAAGATTGCTCACCCCAGAGTACTTAGCCAATGAGAAACCATGGGAGGGGGCTTGCCACTTAGGGGATACAATGCCTGCAGAGGGGCTCTAGGGTGCCCGCCCCGCCCCCCTTTGCCTGATTTGTCTCCAGGCTTGGGTGCACAATTTTGCCAACTGGAACAGTAAGGGCCGCTCCCTCGCTAACATGAGTACAGATGAAATTTCTTCAGCACTCCAGTTTCTCACGCCTACCAGCTCCCGTGGCCTGCAGCATTCCCCGACTCGTGGCCCCGCCACTGCATGTCTGTTTCTGCTACCACCTCATCTCCTCTAGGGTAATCAAATCTTCCTCACACTCCCCCTACCCTGTGGTGACGCTGGACCCACCTGTGAAGCCCAGGCTTGTCTCCCATCTCAACATCACACCTTGATCC